ATTATTTTGTGTTTTTGTTAACAAAATACCAGTATCGATCGTTTTCATAGAATACACATGAATAGGAAATATGTTATACTATGTTATGGTTTTAGACTTAAATGATTTGTTTTGCTTTGTCATCATCTTGTGTTTGTATTTCTCATTTTTCTTTCTTTCTTTTGGTGCTTGGATTTGGTTTTGGATATGATCACTATATATTTAGGGGACTTATTTTGGGTGTGTTTGGTATGAAGAAAATATTTTCCTAAAAAAGGTAATTTTATCACTTATTCTTCCATGTTTGGTTGGTGAATAAAATTTTTTTGCCAGAAATTATTTCCTAGTGTTTGATTAATGAGTAAAAAATATTTTTTTTTAGGAAAATATATAATTTAGGCAAATATTATAAAAGACGAAATAGGTAAGAGGGTGGGCGTGAGGTTGGGGTAGTAGGGATTTGGGGGTAGGGGTAGGGGTAGANGGGGTGTAGACAGTTCTGTTCGGCCGGTTATTTTATAATATTTGTACCATACCAATTTTTTAGTTATTCTATTATGTATAACCAAAATTAGACTTTCTGAAACCGTCCCAATCATGTCGGTTTATCTTTGGTATCGGTACGGTTCAAATAATTTTTTAAATATCATGTAACAGTCACTAGTAGAAGTAAACCACAATAATGTACGTACTTTTATGGGACTTAGCAAAACTCTCTAGATATTTTTAATCTTTAAAGGGGTGATGAATTAAGAAAACATGAAAGATGGCTAGAGTATAAATCCATCAACTATTCTACGTCAGTGGAAAGAAACTAAGCAAAGAGAAGAAAAATATAAATCACATGAGTGGAAAGATATTAACGAAGCTAGGACTCAAGAATAAAGTTTATAGAAGATTAGATATTCAAAATAAGAAATCTAAATCATACAAAAAAAATATATTCAATACATTGCAGTTTGCTGCTCATAATCGCTAGAATACCTTGTGTCTTGCTAGTGAATATGTTGGAACTAATTTAGTTTCAATATAAGTAGCAGAATAGGTTTGGGAATTGGGATTTTGAATTTTAATTACTTGTTGGCTTGTAATAGTATTCATAATTACAAGGACCAAAGAAAAATTTAATGATTTATTATTTTTAAACTTAATATCTAAATATATTTACGTATAAATTTATTCGGTATAGTTCAGTATTCAGTTAGTTTATTTTATAAAATTAAAAACCTACCCTAATTATCGGCACGGTTATAGATTTATATAAAAATCTACGATTTTATTAAAAGAAACCTAAAAATCAATTCAATACAGTACGATTCGATCGGTTTAGTCGGTTTTTAAATATTCATTGACACCCCTACGCGGAATAGTGTGACGAAGGTTGAAAACGAGTAAATGTTTTCCTTCTCTTGTATTTATGAGAAAAATATTTTTCAAAATATTTAAACCAACCAAACATGAGAAAATTAATTTTTTTTTTCGTATGTGCCAAACACACCCTTTGTATTTTGATTGTTTTTTAAAGTAAATGTGGATGTGTTTGGGCAAGGAAAAGACAGGCAAAAGAAAAATAATATATTTTCTTAGACAAATAAATCCAATTGACATTTTACCCGGCGAGACTTGTGCATTGACCTAACAATCACAACATCTTCAAAACTTGGGATTGCCATGTAAGGAACGAGTCCTTGCTTGGCTTTTCCCTCTATATTCTCACTTTTGAGAATAAAATTTATACTAATTTATTTCATAGAAGAAAAATAGTGGTGGTGTTTAGGACTTTAGAAACTTGAGTGAACCTCAATTATTTCATCACCTATCTACTAACTCTTTCTAATATAAGTATCAAATAACTTTGCCCATCATAGTTTAAATAGATAAAAACAAATCACCTAATATTGTTGTTTGTGATGTAATTTATGCTCTAGTCTCCTATGATTTTCACCCATTTCATTGATAAGTTGTCCACTTAATTGATTGTTTAACCACACTCACTTTTTGGCACCCATAAATCTCAGTAGTCTAAGAATAATTTATGTTTCAATATCATCACTTAAACTATATATCATCTAATGTAAATATTACTTTTTGTTATCCTTTTTTCCTTGGGGAGCAACACCAAAACAAGGGGTTGTCTTTTGTTCAAAACAATAGAAGAAGACTTGAATGACTACTATTTACTAACCCATGATCCTTGGCAATGAAAATTAGAGTGAAGAATGCGTTCACTTAATGAGTAGTAACATCAATATCAAATTTCATATGAAAGGGACGTGTGTCTTAAGTAGCTTTCATTTGAAATTTCCACACCAACTTGAAAAACAACAATATTTTCGCTCGTCACTTAGTGAGCTGTCCATGCAGAGTTTACTATGGATTCTAAGGACCCGTTTGTCTATAGATTTTTTTTCTTTATTTCTATTTAAAAAAAAAATGTTTGTCCATAAAAATTTGTAAATTTTGGAGATTTTCGGATAAAATGTTTTGCTCCACTCACAAAGCTACAATATTTTTTCAAGTGAAATGCATATTCAAACATAATTTTAAATTTCAAATATTATTTTACAATTTAACTCTACATACTTTTGTAAATAACATAATTTTTACGTTCAAACGCCCACTAAGTTTGGTTTTAATTGTTTAAGTAAATTCTAGGCTGGGGAATAGTGAAACTCCTTGAGCTAATGGATTTTCAAAATCGAAAAGTTAGCTTAACAGTTAAGATTTAAGAATATTAAGACGGTTAGTTTGACATAGCCTTTTTAGTTCATGAAGTAACTAGTGAATTTATTATGGTTGATGAGATCAAAAGTTAGGAAAGAAATTCTTAGTTTAAAATTTAGAGATCTGGAAAAGGCATGTATATTGTAGGGGTGTATATAGGTCGGGTTGGTTCGGATTTTTCAATTATCAAACCAAACCAGTGGTGTCAGATTTGTAAATTTATAAACCAAACCAACAAAGTTGGGTTTTTCAATTTCGACTTTTCCACTACTGGAAAATGACAGATTTCCGACCGCCAAAACGGTCGGAATTCGGTCGGAAATCACGAATTTCCGACTACTTTCCGACCAAAATTGGCCGGTCGAAAAAAAGGTTGGTCGAAAAATAATTTCTGACCGAATCCGTCAGTGATTTCCGACCAAAGTGGTCGCAAATTTCAAAAGGTCAGACGACCAAATATTTGACGTTTCCGACCAAAGTGGTCGGAATTTACCGACTGAATCAGTCGTAATAATACAAATAAAATAATTAATTATTTAAAATTAAATAATATAAATATATCATTTCCGACCGAATCGGTCGGTAATTAATAATTAAAAATTAAATTTTATTTAATTTCCGACGGAATCCGTCGAAAACTATTGAATATTATTTTTTTTAAAATTTCCGACCGAATCGGTCAGAAATTAATAATTAAAAATTAAATTTTATTTAATTTCCGACGGAATCCGTCGAAAACTATTGAATATTATTTTTTTTAAAATTTCCGACCGAATCGGTCAGAAATTAATAATTAAAAATTAAATTTTATTTAATTTCCGACGAAATCCGTCGAAAATAATTGAATATTATTTTTATTTTTTTAAATTTCCGACCGAATCAGTCGGAAATCTGGGAATTTATGATTAAATCTGGCCAGCTGTCCGACTGTTTTCGTCGGAATTCAGTCGGAATTTTGTATAAAACTGGGCAGAATTCTGCCCAATTTTGAGCTACACTACCTGTCAAACTATTACAATACAATAATACCAACCAACAATACATTAACACAATCTAAACCAATGATATATTAATATAATAATACCAACCAACAATACATTAACACAATCTAAACCAACAATACATTAACACAATCTAAACCAACAATACATTAACACAATCTAAACCAACAATGCCAACCAATAACACAACTTGAACCAACAATACCAACCATTAAACCTAACAATTTTGGGCATAAAAATATCCAAATAGTAGCCTACATTCAAGTTTAAAAATAATACATAAAGTTCTCTCACAATCAAGTTTACCAATCAACCAAAATATCATAACTAAACTACTACACATCAGATTCAGTTTGTTCATCCTCCTCATCAGATAGATCATGCCCATGTTTTCTCATGAATTTCTGCATCTTAATAAATGTTCCGTATTGGGAGTCCAATTGTTATTTCAAATCACGAATTTCGTTTCTCATATCTTCCATTTGTTCTTGATTTTGAGAAGAAGAATTGTCTAAGAGTGGGTTTGGATGACCTGTAGGTCGACGTACTCCTAGTCCGTAGACTCTGCCTTTGTTTACTCCACCTGCTGCCTTTGTCCACAATGAAGCCATATCATCGGGTGTTGATTGAGTTGAAGGAGGCTGAGTTTGTTGCCATTCTTCCAACCTTTTATGCTTCCTGAAATGAAAAACATAACTATTATGTAAACAAACTAATATTAATAAACTATAAATAATTATGAAGTTAGAATTTTACATATGTGTCTGACGCACGTGTCTCCACCCAGTATTCTCTTGTACCATCCTTTTTCTTTTTCTTATGCAATTCCTCGAAGACCTCAGCGTGACTCATATCTCGCCCTCTTTCCTTTTCCTTCATAACAAAAAGTATAAGTTAGACATTACAAACGTAAAATTCTATATGTAAAACTAAGAAAATATTTATAAGTAATTACTGTAAGCACGTAATTTTTGACCCGCACATTAGAATTATCATTAATAGTCTTAGTTTTTTTAGGATATTTATTTAAGTTTATTTCTATAGGATTTCACTTTATTATTAATTTTAATTCTAGTTTTAAAGCATAAAAATTGAAAAATACAAAAATAGTTTCATATAGTTTGCCTTAATTAGTTGGAATTAATTTTATATTTAATAGTATATTTAAGATTATTAAGTTTCTTAGTTGTTGGACTTTAAGAGTTAAAGTCCATAACCTTAGCCCAAAACCCCAAAGCCATCTGAGCCCAACTCCCTCAAGCCTATACCCACTCTCCATTTGATATTAGAGCTAACCTAAATTCCTAAGTGAAGGGACGGCCGCTGCTTATCTGCTTCTTCCTCACAAAAGAGTGGGAACCTCTTCTCAGTTTTCAAGCTCCGCATCACAAAAGAGCCGGAACCTCTTCTCAGTTTTCAAGCTCCACACCACAAAAGAGAGAACAAAAATCACCCTAGAGCTAAGGCAAAAGAGGAGCCGCTGCTTTTATACTTCTTCCTCCAAAAACACTACCATTTTTAGCTCCAAAAATACCATTTAAGCAGCCCCAAATAAGCTGAAATTCCAGCTCAAAATCAGCTAAAATACTGCCTAAAAAATGCCATGAAACTAGCTCCAAAATCACCCTTTAACACCACGAAACAGCCCCAAGATCTTTCAAAAATCCGAGCCGTCGTTAAGATGGTCGTCGTCCGAGGTTCCGTTGATGAGGTCGACGATGTTCGGTTCTACTTCTAACGAGTTGTTGTATAAGTTGGAGGATGATTGTTATCATCATATTAAATAAGTACTTTGCTTTGCAATACTACAGGTTCTTTTCCTTGTGTTTATTTTATCTTACATTCATTTTACTAGTTTGGTGAAAGATATTGATTAATTTTCCTCTCTGTATTAGTTTTCCTTCGGTCCGCCATCCTAATGGGTTTATCTGTTTCTTTGAGATTACCATCTCTCTGTTTTACTTCCTTCATGATATAATTGTTGTGGTATCCATTTGGTTAGTCTTTGTCACATTAACAGTGAACTTTTGACTACTAATGTGCAAATATGGAAATTAGTGATTGAAAGATGTTGAGATGTAGATTGATTTTATGGTTTTAAGCCTTTGGTTCTATGTAATTATTTAATAGTTTAGATGAGCTATTAGTTCATACATTGTGGTACAACTCATTTAATTATCCATTGGAAAATTCTTGGGTCTTTACACTCTTTCTGATATTTTATTGAGTAAATGAATCTCTTCTTCTGTATCTCATCATGGTCACTACCTGAAATCTCTCCTGCTATTTCTATAGACTCAATGACAATTGGCACGCAAGAAAGCAAATTGTGGATGTGAAATTTAACAGAATCTGTATTCTTGTAAAGAACTATGGCTTTTGCCCAAAAATCCTTCATTTCCAGGGATGGCTTGATGTACTGCTCTGCTTCTTTGAATACCCTGAGAAGCTCTTTTAAGGGGGTTCTCAATAATTTTTCATTTGATATTCTTCTCTTCAAACCTCAAGTTCTGTTTCATAGTTTCTACAATTGTCTTGTAGGTATATTTGCATGGCCTCACAACAATCTCAAACTTAGGAAAATAATCACTTATGAATATCGTAGTTTGCTTTAGGTGCGATTAATAAAAATAATCATCGTGACTATGGGTACGGTTCCCGTGGCATAGTCATGATACGTAATCCCCAATTCGAGTGTGCGTTTCACGTGACTCGACCATAACTTCGAATAATAATAAAATTAACATGTTGTAGATCGTGGGTACGGTTCCCGTGATGCGATTCGCAATATATACAAAAGCAAACGAGTGCACGACATCGCGACTTGTTCAAATAAACTCCATAAATAATTAAAAGCGGTTAAAAAGCTAAAATACATAATAGGTTTTAAATATGTAATAAATCAGATAATTAGGCCAATTAATAATAGTTAAGCGACCGTGCTAAAACCACGGAACTCGGGAGTGCCTCACACCTTCTTCCGGGTTAACAGAATTCCTTACCCGGTCTTTTATATTTGCGGACCATAAATAGAGTCAATTTCCTCGATTTGGGATTTAAAATAAATCGGTGACTTGGGATACCATAAATTATTCCATGTGGCGACTCTGAACTAAATAAATAATCTCATTTCGAATAATGTCACTTAAATTGGAAAAACTTCCCTATCCCTCTCGGAAAAAAAGAGGTGTGACAATTACCAATCTTAGTTTATGGGCCGCAAAAGTAATCGAACCTCCTGTGTGCAACGAGCCACCTTTACTAGAGGCACGATTTGCCTTTGCTTGTTCACTCTTTGCCTTCCATTTTGCGGTATTCTATTTCTTAAGAAGTTTATCCCAAATATCTTTTCTTAACCAATCCGGCATTTTATCGGAATTCCGAGCAGCGAACATAGTATCTTTAATCCTTATAGCAGTTTTCTTCTCGAAAATACTATTTATTTCATTTTGATGCTGAGAATGCCATGTACACTTTGTCTGCAATATAAAAAAGTAATATTAGATGAAGACGATAATTATTAAATAAATATAATTAATTTTTACCGTAAATTGATTCCCCATTTGCTCTCTGATGCTGTATGATATCTTTCTCCAAGAAGTCCACGGCTCATGATAAAATAGCTTCAATGAATCCGTAACCAAATGTGTAGTCTAAAAGGATGGCAAGAACCTGCAGTAAAGTTAACATATATATAATTAATAAACATCTTAAAATTTCAAAAGTTTTAATTGCAAATAAATATTCCTTAATGTTAACATATCTAAAAGTACATTCAAAACATAAATATTAGTATAAGAACCTTCTTAGCCATCCTCGTGGGGGACGATTATCAATAGATTATAAGTATCAAATTGTACATCCCTTCCAAGATTCTGCATGCATCTACTAGATGGTGCAGAAGCAACACTAGATGTAGCTGGGCGAGAGCCTCCAATATCCAACCTAGATATGCTGGGAATGGATGATGCTGATGGACTGGAAGATGGTGGAGCAACAAAAGACGAATCATCATGCTGACTACCATGAAAGCTCGGGGGTGCATCGGCTGGTGAGCCAGTATGATGACTACCAGGAAAGCTCGGGGGTGCAGCAGCTGGTGAGCCAGTATGCTGACTACCATGAAAGCTTGGGGGTGCAACAATTGGTGAGCCAGTATGCTGACTACCATGAAAGCCCGGTGAAGATGATGGTATAGAAGAACACCTAATCCTTCCTCCAATAAGAAAATCATCAAGTGTTTGAGCCGTAGCAATAAATTCAGTAACCCCTTCAATAAATTCATCCCTCAACCCTGCACGATTAGGATGATTCCTATTATACATCCATCTACGATGAACAAATTCCATCTACACAAATAGAAATCTATAAATGAGATATTTATAATAATTTAATTTATTTAAACTGGTTACAAAGTTATTCTCTTTCAAAGGTTCCTTTTAGAAATATACATATCATTGTGTCAAAGCACTTTGGCGAGATATTTACTTCCTCATCTTCCTTTGAATTCCCATCTCACTCTACCTTTCTTCATTATTTTTGCATTCAGTTGTATTACAGTATTACTTCTCAAGCCAATTTAATTACCTTACTCTTAGTCAAGTAGCTCCTACACTAACTTGGAACCCTCTAGAGAAAACACTACTCCATGAAATCATAAAAAGAAAAACGGGAATGTTAATTAGAAACAATGCTTTGGGATCGAGTTGCGCGCCGCAGCATGCCACATTGGCTTTATATATATTATTATTATATGGATCGGGGCTGCCCGCCTGCAGCAGGCCTTATAGGCTTTATTACTATATGGATCAGGGGTGCCCGCCTGCAGCAGGCCTTATAGGCTTTATTATTATACGGATCGGGACTGTTCGCTTGTAGTAGGCCATATCGGCTTTATATCACGCTTGGGCTGAAGGAGTCCCTCCGGAGTTTGTACACACCCCTAGTGAGCGTAGATGATTATATATTCGGGATGGACTTCCCAGGGCATGGACTTGCCTTACTTTTTTATATTACGATAAATTTTCCTGGACATGAATCTTGTCCGTATCATTTACATTTGGGAATGAATTTCCCAGGGCTGGATTGGCCTTATACGATACTAAATGACTGACAGTCAGTCGATGTGTATATATATATATATACAGGATGGAATATCCCTGGGCTGGATTATGCATAAAGAGTATTGAGTGACCGAATAATTTGTGACCAGTAGTACATGAGGTCTTACCACTTAGATGTCATATTCTTCATATTATGCAATATTGATCTATTTTTGCTTGCACTGAGTTTAACTGTTGAACTTGAAAGCATGCCTTCATTTCTGTACCATTATTTATGTACTGAACTGTACCTACAGAGCTCGTCACTACTTTCAGCCCAGAGGTTAGTTTTGTTACTTATTGAGTTGGTTGTACTCATACTACACTCTGCACCTCGTGTGCAGATCCAGGTGCTTTCGGACACGGCGACTGTTAGATCTCAGAGAGCTATCAGTTGGAGACTATCAAGGTAGCTGCCTGGAGTCCGCTGACCTTGACTCTCATTCTTTCAGTTATTGTACTATTCTATACTTTCTGAGAATATTTTATCAGTCAGACTTTATTATCATTTAGATACTCATGTACTTAGTGACATCAGATTTTAGGAGTGATTATATCTGTATTTGTGAGATTTCTTCCGCTGAATTTAATTATTATGTTTCAAACTTAAAAGATATGGTGGTTTATTGAGATTGTCGGCTTGCTTAGTATTGAGATAGGCGCCATCACGACATGTGAGATTTTGGGTCGTGACAAGTTGGTATCAGAGCCTAGGTTATATAGGTCTCACGAGTCATGAGCAGATTTAGTAGAGTCTTGCGGATCGGTACAGAGATGTCTGTACTTATCTTCGAGAGGTTGCCTAACCCTTAGGGAAATTTCACTTTCTTCTATTCTGTCGTGCAAATTTGTTGGTTCTGGAAACTAAATTTTTTGCGATTTTATTCTCTCAAGATGGTGAGGACATGCACTACCGGATCAAATTTTTAGCCACCAGTGCCACCAGTTAGGTCCGTGAGAGGCCGGGGCCATGGTAGAAGTCGAGGTGTAGTTCGTATAACAGTTGGAGCAGCACATGTAGCACCACCGGTTGCTCCAGCTCAGGAGCAAATTCCAGATATAGTTGAGCCGGCGGGGCCAGCTCAGGCACTCGTTGTGCCCATTGTGATTCCATGAACAAGGTTCGAGACAAGGATTCTGTATTTTAGTGATGGGCCAGTCTGGAGGACTTGAGGCCAGGGTTAGACCGCAGCTTAAGCTCGGTAGTTTCGGATGTGAGAACTTGTGCGTTTGGACTTATACGTCGGTAGTATCCCTATGAGTGGAATTTGTGGCTCGATGGGCGGTTGAATGACTATATGATGAGTATGATATGAATGCGGGATGTGTTCATGTGGGTTGAATAAGACAAATAAAGTTTACTTGTGACTCAAGAGTCTACTATTGGGTACTTGATTCCTATTTTGATATGACGTACAGTCTTGAGTTATGAGTGCGTTGAGGGATCTGACATGCTGTTTAATTGTGGAGCGAAGTAGATTTTCATGTCATGTTGATGAGTTCAAACTCAGAAATATTAAGTGATTCCGTGGTAATTGTGGATGCGAAAGGGTATAACAAGATGCCAATTTGAGGCTAAGCAGGTAGGTTATCTCCTGCGGAGTAATCTACGTAGGCGTGTTCCTTATAATGTTGAGTGAAGAGCTTCTTTTCTACCAGCGGGGCGTATGTGTTGGGACTTGAATTTGAATCTGGTTGAGAAAGTTAACTTGACTGTCACGAGAATAAATGGGAACTTAGCGGATGATTGGGGTATTTTATTATGGGTGTTGCATAAGCTTGAGAAGAATTTTCGTTGAACTGACTGCAATATTATGGCAGTAATAAAGTATGGGTATTGTGAGTTATCGAGTATTTTGTTCTATGACTTTGAGCCAAGTGGGGGAGCCTGCTATTGACAATTCAATTTCATGGATATATATTAAATTTTAGTTTTGGTCTGAGGCATACTTGTGGGTTAGTTATGACTTGCAGATGTGGAGATCGAAGATGACTCGGGTAATGAAATTCCTGGATACGGGTTACATTTCACTTTATGAAAATATGAAAAATTATGGAATGATTAAGTTGTTATTTTGAAGGATGTAGTGCGCACGAAGTATGAATTTGATTGGTCGTGTTAAGGTAGGGTTACTTCTTTGAGTGTTGATTGTGCTAAAGGAGCACATGTCTTTCGGCCCATTTGGGCAGAGCAAATTAGATTTGAGAAGAGTGGATGACTCTCGAGAGGATTCTAATAAATTCAAAATGTATATGTGGCAATTAAAAAATTTTCGAATTTGTATATTACTAGAATCGATTACTTACATTGGATGGTATCAGGACGTGTGGTAATTTTGTTTGACTATGGATTCTACATTTCAGTATAATAATGGAAAAAGGA